ATTGATTATGAATTGTGTGAGAATGTTTATTCATGATATCTTAAGTGTTGTGAAAATGTTTGATCATTCTATGTTCATGGTATTACGACCTGTGTGTTTTTATGGAATTAAATTTGAGTTTTGCCATAGGACGTGCAAAAGCTAAGTGTTGAGGAATTTGATAGGAATGTAAAATGCATATGTTTCCCTCCTTATTTTATGTGCTCGTATGATTAATCAATTTCAAAATGTACTCATTACGTACATATTTTGTTTTAGGTGGCAATTCAATGGAGATGACATAATTTGGAAGAAATATGTGAAAAATGACCAAAGTGAAAGGAAATTAAAGTTTAAGGTTAACGTGAAAATGCACAAAAGTTGTGTCGAATCAAATGATGAAGATTTGAGAGTGTTAGAAATCAATTGAATGAAGAAAGAAATCAAATGGGTGAAATATCGTCAAAATAGGATCACACATCAATTTTCAATCGAAAAGTAATGCATCAGATTTTCAGTCTCAGTTTGATACCCATTTGTGACATGGAATACGATCAAATTGAAAGATGGTATCTCAAGAAATTTTGTAGCCCTTTGAGTTATCTTTCCAACGCATTTTGAATTAGCTCAATTGGATACCTTTAGAGAAAGTTATGACCAACGTACCGAACACTATTAAGAAACAAACCTACGCGAGCGCACATGCGAATTCTCTCGCGCGCGCACGGGTATGAATATTACTACTGAACCTAAAACCAAAGAATGAAGTGCACGCAAGGAAAATATACGGCGTACACACACAGACATTTTTCACAGACGAATCTTCAGTTTTCTAATTTAAGTCAACTACCTATGAAAACAACTATAAATACATATTTTAAAACCCTAGAACGGGGGTCGAACGTACAAAAACCCTCGAAACTCCATTCTTCATTATTTTTCTCTTAAATTCATGAATTGTAAATAAACTTTTACACTTGGTCGAAGGAAATTGAAGTCTTGGAATCACGTATTGTGAGATCTAAATAGTTTTTTTATTATTTAATTTTTATTTCGCATATTGAATATTTTTCTTCACTTATTTTCATAATTGTTATGTTTAATTGCTAGGTAAACTAGTAGTTTGTTATTCATTACAATCTACGGCTAAATTAAATATCAAATCCGTAATTGTTTGATTTATTTAACTTGTGAAACACTAGGATTTGATGATTTTCTGCGATAAAGGTTATTGAATTTTAAGAAAAATGTTTAAATAGATTGAATGCAACCGTTGGTGTTTGTGTTATTTATTTATCGATTTCTTTATTGTGTAAATATGTTATTAAATTGAATCTTGAGCGCTTGTTTGTGGTTATTTAATAATTAAGGTTAAATAGAACACCGGATTCTAATAAACTAAAATTAAGGAGAAATATGAATCAATTCTAACGATGAATATTCAAAATATGAATTGAATTATCATTCTATCTATGATAANATAATTAAGGTTAATTAGAACGTTGATTTCTAATTAACTAAAATTAAGGAGAAATATGAATCAATTCCAACGATAAATATTCAAAATATGAATTGAATTATCCTTGTATCTGTGATCAATTGTGGATTTTCGACGGTGAATGTGGACTTGGAACAAGGTTAATCTTCTAATTGTTTTTGTTAAGTTAATTTAAATTGTTATTGATTGCGTTATTTACAATTGTTTGCATACAAAACCCTCCAATCATTGTGAGAGCAGAAAATACTGAATTATATATTTTTCGTGGGATCGACCCTTACTTCCACTACTACATTAGTTTTAGAGGTTAAGGTATTACTTTTGGGTGTCTGGAACAGCACATACCAAATTTTGGCGCCGTTGCCGGGGAGTGGTGTTAATTTATTTTTGTGCTTCTTTAGTTATTTGTTTCGTTTTTTTTTAAAATCGTAATTTTCTAGGATTTTTAGGCTTTTATTGTTTTTAGGAATTTTAGCATAGAAATTTATTTTGTTTTCCTTAATC